CCACTCCCCGGCCCTGATGCAGGGGAGTGGACCACTTCCCCGGAGCTGGGGAGCCAACGCCAGGCTCCGGCTCCAGCCCCTGGCCCTTGGCTGCTGGCTTCCGCCTCCAGCCCCAGGCCCCAGCATCCGGCCCCCAGCCCCCTTCGGTAAGTGTCCCGCTCCGGACCAAGGTGGCGCGCTCACGGACTGCTGATCCTTAGAGGGAACGTTGGTCGCAACATCAGCAGATGGGGTCTCGGGGGTGGTGGGCTGTGGGTTGAGAGTAGGGAGCCATGCTGAGGAAGTGGGGTCGTTTTGAGGAAAAGTTTGTGAAGCGCTATGCTAGAGACTTTAAAGAATAGGTTGCCTAACTATTTTTGTATGGGCAAGTATATTTTTCCCTGACCTTGTTCTCAAAATTTAGCTGAATTTTTTTTCTTAGACTCACCTGAAACAGTTAAAGTTTGACAAAGTTATAAGCTACTGAAAATGGAGATTTTATTATGGGAAGTGTCAGACAACATTATAATAGTAATATGAACTTTACCAGCAATTTTGAAATTTTTCATTCTTTGTCTAAAGAAAACTACAAAAGTAATATTTAGCAAGTGCTTTTTTCCCTGACGTTCTCCCCTGTCTTTTTAGAAAGGCACCCAAGAACTTCTGAAGTATCTAAGAAGCAAAATCCAAGGTACACTGTTGCTCTTTAATATAAATTGAAAAATCCACCTTTTAAAAAGTTACAAGGCTTTAAAATTATTCCGAATGTAACCAAATCAGCTGTTTTTGTTCATCTACATTTTATTTCTTCATTTAATGTAAAAGAGATGTTGGTATTGGACAAATATACTACACATATGTACAGGTACACATACCCCCCAATCCATTTTTCTTCGGAGCAAAAGATGTTTCACTGAAAATGATGGCACTTGATTTTTCTTTAATAATGTGTTTCATCTTGCTGCACCAAAAGATGGCAGTGTTAATCAGTTCAGTTCAGGTATGAAGTTTCATTTAGGGCATTTTTACACATGCTCCAGGAGGTGTCGGGGGGCACTTAAATTAGTGAACCATGCTAATTCAAAAGTGCCCGATTTGTCACGTGTATCAGCACACCCTACACTTAAAAATGGTAGTGGGGCGTTTTGAACTAAAGATCATCACACAAGCTTTAGTTCAGAGTGGCCCACCACCATTTTTTGGTGCAGGGATGCTGATACACGTGATTCTAGTCTGCTGGAACTTGTTTATTTCCATGCTCCGGTAGACTCGATTGAGTCTGCTCTGACCTGCTGGATTTCCAGTGCATCAGAGGTGGTACCCTGCACATCTATAGGGCACTTAATCTTTGAATTGTTGGATTCAGAAAAATTCAGTCCTAGCAATAAGTGAGTAAAGTGAATCTGGCTATAGATCAGATACTCAAATGCTCATTTGTTGTATATAGAAATGTTATATGTAGGTAAGAAAGCTAGTGTTAGATTAATAAAGTTTAACACAATATTGATTTAGGAATTGCACCGGTTGCCATGGTGTCTGAGAGCTAGCTGGCAGCAACAGTCTTGTTTCATAGAAGTTTGGGTTGAATAATAATGCGTGCTTCTGTTTTTGACTCCCTATCTCAAAAGGATGACTGGTCTTGCTAACCTAGCTCTGTTGCTAGGCGCTCTTCCATGAACTTAAAGTTGCTATAGTTTCCTTCTTTACTGGAAGTTAGGCTGACAATATAGCTGTACTTGCTGTCAGATGCTAATACTCATGCATGTGGTTGGTTTGTTAAGGCTTTATGCCAAAGATTGTGCATGCATAAATCAACTCTTTGCGTGCCTTAATCCTCAGTACTCACTAAACAGATATATCTTATGCTGTTTTCAGAACTCACAGAATTTGCATTAAGATTGCAAGTGAAAAACAACAGACTGTAGAGAATGGGGTGTTATGTACAGTATATTCTTATACAGATATGAGTACTTGGATGCTGTTTTCATAATTTTGCCTATGTACATGTTTTCTGTAGATGATATAACTAGCCCAAGCGAGGAACCTCCTGTGACAGCCATGACTCTTCCAAGCGAGTCAAGAATTAACGTGCATGCCATAACTGCATTAAAATTGCTAGAATATAGGTATGTGTTTTGCAGAGTTATCCATGTTTACTCCCTTTATACGCCTTGCAGGTAAGTGCATTATTCACTTAAATGTTTAACACAATGCCATTTCCAATTCTTCACCCATTGTTTGCATTGTAACAAACTGGTTATCTGCATAGTGGTTATTAGGGCTGTGCGAAGCTTTGGTAGCTGATTTGATTCGCAGAAGATTTGGCCTGATTCGGCGACCAGATCTCCAAATCTGAATTGAATCAGGAGACCAATAAAAAGCTCCAAATTGATTTGGAAAAGATTCGGCACTGCTTCGGAGATTTGGTCATAGACTAAACAAGCAGCAGTCCTCACCATGCTGGACACGGCTAGCTTCAGCTGGTAAGTCTGTTGTGGTCGGGGGAGGGAAGGGGAGTGGGGGAGAGATCGGGGCTGGGGCTGGGACAAGCTGCCCCCTTCCGCCTCGAGCGAGCCACGTCTGCATCCCACCCCCTTATTCCCCCTACCCCCAGCTGGGCAAGCGGAGCCCCTGCTCCAAGCGCTGCCACGCTTGCATCCCATACCCCCCGCCCCAGCTGGGCAGCTTGTCCCAGCCCCAATTTCCCCCTCCCCCAACCCCAGCACACTTACCAGCTGGAGGCAGCTGTGTCCAGCATGGTGAGGATTGCTGCCTGTTTAGCTTGTGGCCAAAGCAGCACCAGATCTTCAGATCTGATTCAGCCAAATTGAATCAGGACAGCGATTCAAATCTCTAAATCAAATCACTGTCCCTCTGAATCAGCCGAATCTGAAGCAAATACTTGCTGCTTCATACAGGCCTATATGCATAAACTGCTTAAGTCATAGCACCTTCCAGCCACGCTATCAACTTTGTAATTTGTTGTAATCTGTTTAACTGGACTAGAATAAAACTTACTTTACTGCTTATTTTTTGTGTAAAAGGGGAATAAAGTCTAATACATACATGTTCGTTTTACTCTGCTAAATGAAGTGCTTTTCTTTGTTCAGTGAGAAACAAGCAGCTTTGATTCCTGATGAAGTATTTAACGCAGTAGGAAGCAATCCTGTCACCACAGTAAACTTGAGCAAGAATCAGCTCAGTGAAATTCCTGCCAGGTATCAGTCATATTTTGGTTTATATGCCATTCTGCATCTATGGCAGTGTGTGTAAACTTTTTTTCTCCAAGAATATTTACTCTTTTATCTTAAATGTGCTAAAATATGATTCCAAAGTTATGAATAGGATGCACGCAGTTTTCCTGTAAGTAGTATGCAGGTGTGTTCTGTAGATGCTAACAGGTGAATTTTGTGTGAAAGAATAATTAGGAGAAGATATGGCTGAGGGATGGTTTCACAGCACTATTCATTTTGTTTGTGTTTTGTTTTGCCTAACAGTTGTTGAAATGAATGAGAGGACATTCAAGTGCAATTTCACATAATAAAAATACAGTCACTTAACTGGCAAAGTAAAGCTGTAGAATTGCTCATTGTTTTGTCTATGAAGTCTTCACCTGTTCCTCTACAAAGAAATAATTTGTGTTCATCAGTACTTCGTTAGCTCAGCCCTGCACTATGAACGAGTCCCAATTTTAAACGTCACCTTCTGCAGGTAGCTCAGTCCAGCATTTTTTTGAAAGGTCAAACAATTTCTGTATTTTTCCCCTTACCTGTCCATCTGGTGTCTTGTCACAACTTCTATAGTGCAACACATTACTGAGCTTCATTTTGTTACATCTAGAAGGCCACAGAAAGCTTTGTTGTGACATTTAGGGAGCAAAATTTGTTGTCAGCATTTAACTGTGTGCTGAACTAGCATTTTAGATGCTGGGAGACATGGCCTTGTGTCTAGGAGGTTGTAGTCTAAATTGACAAGACAGTAATTCATTTAGTCTCTCTTTTTTTTTTTTTAATGGCACAGAGTTGTATATCTGTTTTTTGTGGGCCTCAGGAAAGATGGTGGAAGTTGGAGAGGATGTTTTAGCTTGATACTAAACAGGGTAATGTGTAGCTAATGAAATTGTTATCTGGCACAACAGCTTTATAGCTTAAACAGGATGCCCCAGTCAAACCACCATTGTTGTGGGGCAGGGGTGAAGAGTCAGCAAGTGAGCCTGGGAGAAGGAAGAGCCACAATCCTTATTAAGATTTGAAATGATATATTACATAATTCATAATAACTTAAAAATGAATGTTAGGTAGTAAGAGGTATGCCAACCCTCACTGTTTTGTGGAAGCAGAGTACTTTGTTGCAATACTTATTCATTCACCTTCTGAATGTCTAATTTTCACTCTTGCTTCTCTGTGTCAGCGAGGCTGTAGTTGCTATATAGTACTGTTATATATAGCCACTGGCTTGATACTGCAGACCTTATTCAGGTGAAATCTGAATTAATTTTAATTGGGGACTTGACTGAGTAAAAGTTGTAGTACTGAGTCCTATATGAATGCTCATAACCTCTTATGGGCAGGGACTGTCTGCTCATATGTTTATACAGGATCTAACACAATAGGGCCTGATCCTCTATGAGGTTACTAAGTAGTACTGTAACTCAGATAGACGATGATGTAGATGGGCTAACAAGTCTGTACAGAGTCTGGTTAATGTTGTTTGTCTGTATTGCTATAGTGCCCAGGAGCCCTGCAGCTCATGGGAAATCTCTCATGGGAAAATTGGGTTAATTATGTGTTTCTACAATTCTACAGAAAATCAGTTTATTAAAATAATACTTTATTTAAGACTATTGCATTTCAGCAGCAAGGAAAGTGTGGGTAAGTAGGTTCTAAAAAGGAAGGAATATAAGTAAGAATTATAATATGATAGAGGATTATTTTGCACGTTAATTACCTCTTTTGGTTTAAGGACAGTTTCTTCCAAATGGGTTCAACACTTAACTTCTTGAACGTCCTAATTCTTTACATTGGAGTGTCTCCTAATTATCTCAGTAGTCTGTGAGAGCAGTAAGATAATATTTTCAGTATTTCACAAAAATGAATTAATGGGACGGAAACAAAAAACTGAAATTGACACTAATCCACTGCATTTCCTGGTGGCTCCTGGTATGTTGAACTTCTGTGCCTTTTTAATAACTTCTATACAAGTATTGTTTTAACAGTGAAAGGTCAGCTCACCTCACCTCATCTGTTTGAAATATCTGCTGACTGCATTTATCTGATCAAACTTTCATAGAATAACTAGATATCAGTGAAGGCAGCCTGAGAAAGTTAAATATGAGTTTTGTCCTGACACTAAAATGCAAAGCTCAAGGACAGGCAGCTTTATTAAGTGTCACTCCCACTATTTTCTCTCTCCCAAATTGCCACTGAAATTCCAAAGAGCACAGATCAGACTTCACAGTGGAACAGGGTTTTAGTGACTAAGATGGAAAGTGTTTTGCTCATTTAATAAAATGTATTTGTATTGGGGTTGCAGGATTGTAGAGCTGAAAGAATCAGTTTGTGATGTCAATCTTGGCTTCAATAAGCTCTCATCCATTTCCTTGGAGCTCTGTTTGCTTCACAGATTGACACACGTGGATGTCAGGTTTGTGGTCTTTTTGAGTAATATATTTTCACACCCTTTTAAACTAGATAGTGGAGTATATCAGTAATGAAATAATAGTTACATTCTTTAAAGGTTTCTGTGATACTGTTGGTCTGTATAAAATATATTAATATATCTGGAGACAGGTGCTAACCTAGATCTAAACACTTTATAAAGGTATTAAGTGGATAGTATCTGAGTAAATAAGACTTGATTGAATGTAGGGTTCTACACAGAGGTCTTAGGTAACTATCAGAAAAGGGACCCAGGGGCAGCTAATCCAGATAAAAGCTGCATCCCCACAAGAAAAATACAGGTCTGGTGTGCTGTGTGAGCTCAGTGCGTATCTTTGGGCAACTGCATTTGTAGCTACAATAACTTGTGGTGCTCAGTGTGTTCATTCAAGGCAGTAGGATCGTGCCACTGACACACAAAAGTGAAAACAAGTAAAGCATAGTGCCAGATGCAGCAGCTTGCCTTGTCTTGTTTTAAATTAAAATAATCTGTTTAAAATAAATGTGCTGCTGAAAGTGGAGAAGCAGGAGGAGTAAAATAGGCAAAGGGAGAGTGAAGATAAGTAAGATCATATGAGGCTGATGGGGAGGGAGCCAGACACAGGAAGGTTAAGACTGAGAAATGTTTAATAACGTTGGGGCAGCAGTGAGCCCTGGCTGGCTATTTCCAAACATTCCGTGCTCAGCCAGTATGCATGCTCCAAACCTGGAAATATATGCAGGTGGGCTGCTGTTATGCACAGTACAGACCACACTAGAGATTTGGAGAGTGGCTGAAGGTGGAGGGCCTGGGGCTTTATTACCAGCTCACCTCCCAGAGCAGGGTTGGGGCATGTCAGTGGGAGCAGGTAGGCAGTATGCCATGTGATAATAAAGGGCTGACTGGCAAATACATGTAATTTTTGCTTGCTGGGAATGTTTAATTAACTTCAATCCGTCTAAAACTTTTATAAATACTGTTTGCTTTTATTTACAATTTAGAAATAACTTTTTGACATCTTTACCTGAAGAAATGGAAGCACTTACAAAACTGCAAATAATCAATCTTGCCTTTAATAGGTAAGTACCGTTCTGTTTGTTTTATTAAAATGTTGCCTGTTAGGCAAAGTCCAATCTGTGTTGATCTTTCATGTTTGTAGCAGGGTGCAAAGACAAAAACTCCCACAATAGTTCCATTGCAATTCTGTTAAAGTTGTCTTGTGTCCAGGTGAAATGGTGTCCATCACAGCTCAGATGTTCCTCCTTTGTTTGCAGCCAGAAGCCCCTCTCTCCTGCACTTCAAATGTTCACAGCAGTCTGCAAATAATACTTAGAGAAGTGTTTGCACTGTATGTCTTATTTGGGCAAGGACAAACATCCTTTGCCTCCATCTTTCTGGCTTCCCTCACCAGAAGGCTATACTTCAGACTCCTTTTCTCACTGATGCTGATGGGGAAAAAGAATTTGGCAGGAGAAATGCTCCTGTCAGTGTAGTTGTGTATTTTTGAGGTTATACAGTTAACATGCTTCATCGTGCTTCTCTGAGAAATGCCTTGTATGAGATCCTGGCCCTATTGAAATTAGTGGAATTTTGGCATTAACTTCAGTCAGGCCAAGATTTTACCCTTAGTACTTTATCAGTGAATAGTTGAATGTACTCTCTGCACCCTCCCACCTCTTCCCCCTTCCAACCTAACCTACCTGCAAAAGATGCATTTTAAATTATAATGGATGGCCTTTTCTCTCCCTAGTCAGTTAGTATTTGCTCATTGGTTTAGGACACTGGTTGGCAGTGTTCTTTGGTAATGGGCCAAAATGGTCCAGCTCAAGTCCAGGGTGGGATGATGGTAGGACCCAGCCACCTCTGCTTCCTGTGCTTCCAAGCTGCAGCATGGCATAGGCAAAGCCCCCATCATGGAGGCCCTACACTGCTGAAGCCCCAGCAGTGTGGGCTATAGGTTGTTGACCCATGGTTTAGGAAGAAATTACTGCATCCTGACTTGATACAGGTATGAACATGTGGCATTGCTACCAATAAAAGTCAGCTAGGTAAGTTCCTTCTTAAAAGAATAAACACAGAGTCCTGTCCCTCTCGTTGGGTGTTTGACATGAAGTCCATTTAAAATACAGGGTGCAATTCCTTCTTTCTGAAGCAGCAAAGTGAGAATGAGAATGCCTGTGAGAGGTTCAGTCTTCTTGCTTTCTGTTAGTATGTTTTATGCTCTTAAGTAATTTTCAGCCTATTTCAAAAAAGTTTAGTATCACAAAATATTAGAAGTGCACCAATACCTTGGTCCATATCATATTGGCACCGATAAAAGGAACATTGACATTACTGGCACTCGACTTTTTTTGGCTGATGTGGCTGATAATGTCACCAATAAATGCCACGTGAATATGTGCAGGCTGGTCAATAATTGTCCATTGGTATTGGCCCAAAAAATCTTTATTGATGCACCCCTACAAAATATGTAAAACCTCTCTTGCATCCTTTCCAGTTTTTCATTCCCACAGTATTCATACATACATTGCAAGCAGAGCCTTGCTACATCTGGCTTAAGGGAACAGTGCCTAAGGGATTCTGATATAAGAATCAGTACTAATCTGATCCACTGGGCACATCTACACAGGGCACATCTACACATTCATTAGTACACCATAATTATGGTGCATTAAGTTTAATACTTGTAATAACAGTACCTGTAATAACTGGTACTAAACTTAATGCGCCATAATCAGCGCTACTGCGCAGCAGTGCTGGCACATGCTTTTTTGTGTGACACTAATGTTCAGTAGACTAATTCTGCTGTGCACTAGCATGGTTTTTGCCTGCCATGCTGATGTTAAGTAGAATTAGTCTGTGCATATGAACTTACAGCCCAACTTTCAAGGAAGGTTACAGGGGACTAGAGTGTGCACACAGTCTTCTACATGCACAATGTGGTGCTTTTGTATTCAGAAAATTAATGCACACTTTTGGTGGCTGACTGATGGCTCAAATGAGTGAATCCTAAGGGCTAGATCCAATAAAAGACTTGGTTTTCTAGAAGTTAATCACAGGAACACCTGACTTGTACATGCCTGACATTGAAGTGGAATCCAGAACCCTGTGTTAGGTACCTAGGATCCCTTATTCAGGGCATGGGTAAAATGAATCACCTCAAAATGATAATAGCCAGAACAGCCAGCATGTTGAGTAGGAAGCTGCTTCAGGTCAGCATGCTTGGAGCACAGCTGCTTAGTTAGTTAGTGGGAAACACTGGAAATAGGGAGATATCTGAAATCTTGCCCTCTGTTGGTGCTTCAGGTGGGGGTGCAAGGAGGTTCCTCCATCCACTTGGGATCCACAGCTTGGGACCTTCTCTTAACAGTAGGTACCTTATGGCCTTTCCTTTGAAGACCAGAAGGGGCTTGCTCCTTTCTTGTGAGCTTCAAAGGCAAAAGTAAAGGTGCTGCTGGAATAGGGGGCAGAAGAGTACTTTTCCCTCCAGAATTGCAACTTTAGACTCTTGCATCTAAATTCTACCTCAGTCCTTTTTTGATTCGGGCCCAAAAAGGAAGTGGACAGAACAAGTATATGTGAAGGAGATTCATCATACCATTCATAGTAGCATGCATCTCTCACCATGTTCCCAGAGCAGCAATGAAGCATACCAAAGTGGGGTTTTGACTGCTGACCAGCTGGACACAACAGGAAAAGAAAGAGTTACCAAATTTCTGTTTTAAATGATTAACTGACTACATATTGACCAATGTTGCTGAAAGTAGGAGTTGCAGGAGATGAAGATGCCTGGGCCTGTGGGGGGACAGGATTTCTCTCTCACATCTGTCTAGTGCTTTCCTGGACTTGTGGTCTTCCTATTATGACCACATCATATAATTTCTAATTAATCCGCTAGGTTAATTTTTAGTAGGATTGAGAAATGAGTGACCATTTATTTATGCTGGGGAAATGGTGGGGATCAATTGCCCAGTACCATGTGTTAGAAAATCCCAATCTCTACCCATAATTTGTTTTTTGTTGCAAAGCTGCCCATCTAACTTGATTGCAAATATTTAAAGAAAGCACTGACACCTTTAGTGGTGCAAGGAAGCAGTGACGAAGCTGGTTTCCTAGGAGCTCTTCAGTTAAATTGTTTCTATTTTTATTTACTTCCTGTTAATTCCCATTTCATTAGGAGGCTGATGGCAATGGGCTGGGGAAGTTGTAGGCTCTTTTTTGCCCTTTAAAGACTTATTTCTCCATCACAGCATGGTTCTGGCTAAACCCAGTTTGCCTTGCTTATCATATAGATCCTGCTTGCCCTGACTCTGTAAAGCTATACTATGCTTTTTTTTTTTTTTTTAGAGAAGCAAACTGAACCACACAATGAGATAACTGAACATTCCCTCTCCTAAAGGGTTTCCGTTGTCTCAGACCACCCACGCTTCAGTGAACCTCTTCAAAATTTTGCCATTAAAACAAAGTGAATAAAAACTATTAGTAGGAGGAAGGCACCAGCTCAGACTCAGCGGGTATTCTGATTAGATCTCTGACATTTCTGTTTTCCAGCAAGAAACAATGAGAAGAATTCTGTGGACTAGAAATAACTTTCCCTTCACTAAGCCAATCAAGGCACATTTATGCAACACGGGAATTACATTCTACTCTTCCAGGCTTTATGACTCAGCAAATATCCCTTTTGTTCTGAAGTGCAACATTGAAGGCTCTTCCCACATGAATATATAAAGGGAAAGCATTCCTTGGGACCAAAATTTGCCTCTCTCTGTTACTGAAAACGAGTTGTCAAAATGGTGTGGTGATTTGAGATTTTTGCTGAATCTCTGGATATTCTGTCATGCTATGAAGATAGATGTTGGTATTTAGCAGAATCCAAAAATAGTTTTAAATAAGTATTTCTGAAAGATTCTTAATTGTGTGGACCAGTGCGCTCATCACTAATGTTTCAAAGCTGCATTACTCAGCTGTCACCTTATGGAAGCAGTGGGTAGATAAAATGTTAGATAATTACAAATGTTGACACTTCTGCTCAGAATTGTTTTTTCTTTTTTTGCTATAGGCAGCCAACAAAATGTTGTTAAATGCAAAGCTCTCTCACGCTCTCTTTAATTTAGGAACTGTCCATAAGCAGAATGTATATGTTTTAGGTCTTTGGGGAATCAAAATGGGATTAAGTTTGGGGAATGCAGTGAATCTGTTAACAAGAAATGTTAACCTGGACTGGCTAGTGTCATTACTAGTTACAGTTTGCAAAATGAATCCTCCTTCCTTGCCTTATGTTTTCTGGTATGTAGATGCTGGCCAATCATCTGACAAATTCCACTTCTTTTTCTATTTGTGGACTAAAATAATTGGTACCTTTTCCATTCTTCCAAAAATGCAAGTTAAAAAAATTAGTATTTAATAAGAAACATGGTTAGTTAAAATGCTTTCACCTCCCAATCTGTTTTGTTTTGCTTTTTGTACTACTTTATTTTTTAATGTGATTGATAAAGGAAATGTGTTTGCATCTTCTTGTAGGTTTAAAATATTTCCCAGTGTCCTTTATCACATCCCAACACTTGAAACTATCCTGCTTAGTAACAATCAAGTTGGATCTATAGATCCTTTCCAGCTGAAGAAGATGGACAAGCTTGGCACCTTAGACCTTCAGAATAATGACCTCCTACAGGTGCCACCAGAACTTGGAAACTGTGAAACTCTGAGGTGACTGTGTTTTGAATTTTGTAAAATAGCTTGTTTTATTTAGAGAATATTCTTCCTGAGACTCTATTTGCATACTTTTTTTGCTCAGGGAAAAATGCAGAATCACAAATGTATTTGTTTCCAGATTTAAGTGCCAAAAATGTCTCACTTCTAGCAATCCCATATGAAGCAGCTGCAATTTCTGTCATAGTTTCTCAGGACTATTTGAAAAGAGAGGAAGGTTTTGTTTCATTAATTCATTTTTTTAACTTTTTTTCTTCCAAACCAGAATGATGTATACTTATGGTAAGGCCAAATCACCTTACAGAGGTTTGACTGAGCATGTGGTTAAGCATTGAGTCACTCTTGTAGCTAGTGCAACTTCAATGTGTGAGTTTACTAAGTTGGTCTGCTTTCAACTTTCGTGATCCCTACTTTTTACAGGCTTTGTCTCATTACATTGGATAGTCCTTAGGCATACATATATTGCCTCTCTTTTGACATTTGTTTTATGGATGTTTGTCACAATTAAATGGTTAACAATGAACTGTCCCAAGATGTTAGTACTAGAGCTGCTGTTTAACATATTAATCAATGATCAGGAAAAGAGAGAGAGCAGTATTAGAAAAATAATGAGGAGGAAACAGTAATACTCAACGTGAGTAAAGAATGGAAAAGGGGATGAGGAAATTAGAGGGACCTAATAAATCTAGGTGAATGGTGACACAATGGCAGATGGAATGTAGCACTGACACCTGCAAGGTAATCCAGGGTGGAAAGAATAATTCAACTCCTCATCCACATTGTTGAGTTTTTTAAATTAACTTTAGGTACTTGGTGTGGAGGGAGGAGTCTGTAAGGTCATCAGTGGATTGAAAAATTATATTGTCATCAGTTTTAACATAATACATATTTTTAATGTCATTTTTCCACTATACACATTTAGCTTACATGCTCAGGTAGATTATTCTGTTCAGTTCTGCTTGTGTCTCAAAGGCTATACTAGAAACCAAGGATTAAGAAATGTTTTTGGGGGGTTTTTATGGTTTTGCAAATCATAAGAGGCTGAGCAAGACTGCTTGATAAGGGGGAAACTGGAAGATGGTTTGGTTCTACTTAAAGAACAGACAAAACAAATAACACATGAAATAGTTACTACAAAGATTGAGAACCTATTTATCTTTTTCAACACAAAAGATGGGGGGGGGGACTTTCAGCTGTGATTTGGGTACCTTTCAATCTTTGTGTGAAGCAGGTGAAATCAATCTGTAGCACTGGGGCTAGGAGTTTAACTGGATTCAAGAAAGACTTGTTATGATATTGCTAAAGAAGATCAAGCATATGAGGATATAAACATTCAAGCTTCAGGCTGTAACCAATCCACTAAATTACAGGGTTTGATGTGGCAGGTTACTTTATTGCCTGTGATACTGTTCCTTGGGTATTCTGATGTACAAGGTAGTGACTGCTGTCAACTGCAAACTTACTACACATAGTAAATCCCTGATTCCATTGGGGATGGCAAGCCCTCTTGTCTTTATTGCCTCCTGCAAAAAATGTTTTGACGTCATGAAGGGATACTGGGTGGTATCTTCCTTTGTTTCAAATAGTCTTATGGTTAGAACCCCTGCTCAGCAAATAGGAAACTCTTAATGAATTCCATCCTTTGTCTGATGGAGTTCAAACCCATATTCCCTTGTACTAGTAGCATGTCTTACCTGCCAGGCTATAGGCCAGGGGTCGGCAACATTTTTGGGCAGAGTGCCGAAAACACCCACAACTTCCAACTTGTAAGATGTTGGTGTGCCAGGGGTGGATGACAGGGGAGTATGAGGGGCCCAATCCTTGCTATTTCTGTGTAGCCCCGGCCCCTTCCCCGCCATCCACCCAGAGGCACGCATGCCAAGCAAAATGCCTTTGTGCGCCACAATCTGGCACCCGTGCTGGGAGTTGCCTACCCCTGCTATAGGCTATTCCAGAGAATAAGTAGAAGAGGGTACCACAGAAGTTGGGCACTCCCTAGAGTTGATGTTCTGGGATTCTGATCCTTGTCTTCATTTTTCATCCAATGACTTGTTAATATAAAATGCAGAGTCACTGCTGGAATTTGGGGTCTAATCCAGAACCATCTGTAGTTTGGGAGGTAGAAGGAGAAAATTGACCACAGCATTTTCACTTCCTGGGCAATGCTCTGACCTTTTGGCTATTACAAAAAGGAGGCACTGCATCACCACTTCCTTTGTATTTTTTTTCAAAGCACTGGTTGCAACTATGTTTTGTAGGAAGCCTGATACACCCATTGTGTTAGATATGTTCTAAGAATACCTACCAGAATACCCAAAGGGACTTAGATGGAGGCCTAGCCTCAAGATCTGTAGCTTGCTGAATTCAGTAGGCTATAGGTCAATGGGGTAGGTTAAACATATCCTCTGGAAAAGGGCATGACTAAAGTTTCTAACTGATGAGGGAACTTACAGGGCCATAACCTTGTGCTTACATAAAAGCATGTGTACAGCATGTACACTGCATAAAGTAGGGAGGCTGAACATAACCTATTGGTATTGTATTGCAACCTGTTGGTTCCCTGTTTAAAGAAATAAATAAATAAAGTCCTTTTCTAACATCTGGGGCTGCTTACAAACATGAAAAAAAAACCCAACGCTTTACTTCTAGCTCAGCACACTCCTGCGCCAAGCACAAAACATGCCCAGAAGAGGCATTGCCCAAGGTCTCTATAGATTGCATGCTTCAGCGGGCTTTTTAGCACTTTTATCTAACAGCTGCTTGAATCAGCTATTAGATAAAAGCACCAAAAAGCCACACTGAAGCACCTGATCTATACAGGTACTGGGGAGCCAGGTCAAACGAACGCACTACCTCTTCCGGTAAAGCACTGTTTTGTTTTTCACATCTGTCAGCAGCCTGGTAGACATTTTGCTGAAAAAGTATTGCCACATTTACCCAAATCCAAGACAACTCTGAATTTAAGATGGCACTGATAAAATTTTCCATGTAGAGAATGTAGTTAACAAATATGCATAGAATCTGATTATTGGAGGGTCATCTTAAATCTGTCTCCCCATTGCTATGGCAGGGGAAGCAGCAGCAGCAGTGGGAAGGCTACTGGCAGGGAAAGGAGCAATGGAGTGGCAGGCTGTGAAGAGGCAGGTGGTGGCTTGAACCACTTTCTTGCCCCCAGTACCTGCCCCCTTCCAGTTGCATGCTTCCCAATTTACCTTTTGTGGCTGCTTTGGCCCTGGCCAAGTGGCCGCAGTGGTGGAAGCCCTCAAGGCAAGCAGCAGCTACTGCTCTGGCCACAGGCCCAGGTCGGTATTCAACTCCAAATCTAGGCTTTTTTTTCCCCCCTCACCTTAGACTCAAGTGAATACTCTGTTTTCGTAAATGTAAATTGTACAGAATGCTCTCAGGTCATGCAAATAGACCTGTCTGTGCATATCTGCAGGGCATGCTAGTATTTGAATAAGAAGTCTCTTGAGAAGCTAGCCTACTGTGAAACAGAGTAGCAGTGATTAAAATTCTGCTAAAAGAATAAAATACAGCTATAAAAAACAAACCATTGACACTAACACATTTCTCTGTTTCCCTAGGACACTTCTGCTGGAAGGAAACCCGTTCCGCACTCCTCGAGCAGCCATTTTGGCAAAAGGAACAGCTGCAGTACTGGAATATCTAAGAAGCCGAATTCCTACTTGATCATAGTCAAGTTTTCGTTTCTTTGTTGGGTTCATGAATTAAAGTGCAAGCAAAGTTTGTCCAGTGCAGCAAACTTAGTCTTCCCAGTTGTCAACTATATTAAATTGGCCTGTGCCATAAAGTATTTGTAGTCTGCATGTTGAGAAAGGTACCCAACAATTTTAGAGTTTTTTCCAAAGTTACACATCTGAACACCAAGTTAAAAACATCACTGTCTCTGGAATTATACCCTGTAAATTCAGGATTTCTTTGCATATTGGTTTCAGTAATTTTTTCTACAAGTCCATTTTTTAACTTTTCCAAATGTCAAAAGACTTGTGTAAAAGTGCAAAGTAAGCTTTCTGAAAGGTTGTATTGTATGGAATTCCCAGACCATATGTTTTGTGGCAGCTAATCAATTTTAACTGTTGCATCAAGTATCATTATATGTTACCTATCTGCCTGTTCTAAAATGCCCCAAACCTTAAATTATAGAATTATGATATAACAAAAAAGGCAAGGGTAAGGATTGAAATGTGCTACAAAGGGTGTACATGTTTACAGTAAAACTGATCAAAATTTACTTTGTTACTAGCACACTTTAAAACAATAAATGCTTCCTATTGGATGTCAATTGTCACCTCTGTTTGTTGTAGAAAATGCACAATTGAGATGTCACATTAATATTTCATTAACTTGACATAAAAACATGCCTGTTCAGGCTGGAAGTGGCACCTTTGTCAGTCTTAACTGCTATGTGGCTGCAAATAGATTTCTCTTTTCTTAGGCTTGACATGCCTTGAATGATAGATTATATAAGGACTAGTCATGCGTAGCTCTACATTGATGGTTATTCTTTGGATGTGAAGTATTCAATATGTAGGTTCAAAGTGTCTTAAAAATTAATAGCTGCCAGGTTTTCAAGGCTATGTTGTCTGGAGAATTCCACACTACTGTGGTAATATGTAGATAACTCAGGATGTCTATGTACTATAATTCCATGTGGCACTCTGCCCAGGCTAATCAGCCTGCTGAGAAGTAGTCAGGACTCAGCTCTACACTAATGCAGCTATACTGCTTCTGTGGCCTGCTAGGTAATTTAGGGCTAGCTTAGGTATCTCTAGGCAGTACTATGCACATCTACACGAGACGCTTTACTGCGGAATAATGTAGTTTACTAAGCAGTAAGCATGTGTGTCTACATGTGCACATGATTACTGTGCAGTAAACCTCACTAATCACAAGTAAATTTGCTACCTGCAAATGCAAACAGCAAATTTTCTTGTGATTAGTAACAGTGCAGTAGTATGCATGTAGATATCTGACCAGGAGCAAATCTGCTCCCAGTCAGCTGGCCACCAGGGGGCGGGAGATTGCTCCCTGCCCCTGAAAGCTGCTGGGGCAGGCTTTGCCACCAGATCCTGGGTGGGGACCATGGTTCCCTGCCCTGGCAGCAGGGAGCTCCAAGACCCCCACTCTGAGATCATGATCAGGGAGCGGGGTCTAGGAGATCCTTATCTCCCAGCCCGAGCTCCACAGTCACAGGGCTTGGGCTGGGAGACCCTTCTCTTCCAGCCTGATGAGGTCTCCGAGCCTGAGCCCCACGACAGTAGAGCTTGGGCTGGGAGATGAGGATCTCCTAGCACCGGCCACACGACCATGGAATTGGCACTGGGAGCTCTGTGCTGGCTGGGGCTGGAGAACCTGTCCCCCACCCAGCTCAATGAACACAGAGGCTCCCCAGCTTGTTTCCCACCCAGCTCTGCACTCATGTAGCTGGGTGGGGAACAGACTCCCCAGCCTCTGCCCCGTAATCATGGAGTAGAGGCTGGGAACTGTCCTGGTTAGAAGCAGGTCCCAGCCCTGTGCCGTGATTGGTTAACCGAGGCACAGGGCTTGGAAAGAGCTACAGGTGAGGTAGGTCCCAGCTTCCTGTCCCAATCTGGTGGGGCAGCTAGCAGCAAACTAGCTCCTAACTGCCCCACCAGTGCATCAGGGCAGGAGGGCTGGAACCTGCCCCTCCCCTGCAGCTCTTTCCAAGTCCTTGCCCCTGATCGGGGAGCCAGGGCCAGGTGCTCCCTACTGCCATGCCAGGGGGATCTTGTCCCCACCCTGGTGGCAGGCAGCTGTTGGTGGCAGGGTATAATGTCCCAGCCCTGCCAGCCCTTGTGATGGCACCCAGGTGGAGCCTAGAGCTCCCCCTGGTGGCAGCAGGGGCCCATTGCAGGGCCCCAGGAAGTAGGAGCATTTTGCTGCCATTAGCAGCAAATCTGCTCCCACTTCCCTGCATGTGTAGACGCCTGCCCGGGAGCATTTACTTGTGAGTAGTTTACTTGTGAGTAAACTGATCCTGGATCAAATGCATGTGTAGATGCACCCATTGTGTTGTACTTGTCAGTAGACCAAACAATGGCACCTGCGCAAGGAATAGGTGAACCTCTTCACCTCTCTGTTTTGCAGAAGTAGTTTGTCTTGTAATTGCAACCTATATAGTGCTAAGCACAGGGAAGGAAAATACCACTTTATCCCTCCCTCACTTCCTCAGATCAGATACAAGATAGCAGTTGTGCTAGAGTACATGATATATTTATGTACCATATCCTTGTATTTGACTTTATTTCTCCTTCCTATGCAACAGGAAAATAATATAATTTGAAGTGGTTGACTGGATCCAAAATTAAGCCCTACTATTTTTAAATTTAATTAGCACTTTTTATCAAGGGATCAAACTCTCAAAGATTAAGATGTTTGACAAACTGGTGCAGAGCAGCAGCACTGAAGAGTAACCACCTCTAGAAAAGAACAGATGTCTAAAATGCACAGCAACATGAAAAGGGAAATCAGGAACAAGGATGTTTCATGTTAATTGCTTGTGAGCAGACAAAAAAGGTGAGTGACTTTCAACATAAAGTATTATACACTTTAAAAAAAAATCCATTTATAGGAGAAAGATGGTTGCTGAAAATGTTATGCCTGCCCCTACTTTGATTTGAACAAAGGGCATGAGACATTCTACAGGTATCTGGATTTTCAATCCCCAGCCCCTTACATAAAAATACAGACTTCAGAATTGGAACAGAATAGATATCTAAGAGGCAATAGCTTCTCTTCTTCCTATACACACAGTAACGTCATAGGTATACTTTATACCTCGCCAGAAATCAGCTCTGACACTTCCTGAATGAGTGCAGCATAGAGAACACTCCCTCTCAAACCATTTACACTTGTTTAAACCATAAAGGAAGAAGGCAAGGTACACTTGCACATTATAGACTAGCTCAGAGAAGTATAAGCATTAGCTTTCATGAGTTGCTAACAGGTTTACTTCATCAGATATTATATAAAGGGACCCTGACTTGAGACTAACAACCTCTTTCTAAACCTTAAAGGATTATTCTCAATCAACTGACAATTGTTATTAGTGTTACACTCTTT